AAAAGACTTGTGTGGGAAGGGTAAGGTCCGCAATGGGCAGCATTGTGCCAGCTTCGCGGCGAAGAGTTGTAAGGTGAAGAAGTTAGGGCGCGAAAATGCTCAAGTGACGCCTCCCCTTTTCCAGCGACTCCGCCTCAGGCTCCGCATCTAGACTCCGCCTTCCTGTCTAAAGCGCTGCTACCAGATAAGTAACATGAAATGGATACTCTATTGTCTCTTGTAGGGTCATAGGGTTCATTATACAAGGAATGAGCCGAGTGTAACGGTCCCAACACGCGGTCTTTTACCCTTTTACCCGTACAGTTGCTTGTGGCTGGACGTCCCTTGGCATGGCGGTACTAACGAGAGTGAGAGCTTGTTACAGCGTTGGGCAGATCAAACTTACCGATTATTGTCTGCAGCTTTGTTTCGTTTACTATATAGCCTGATACCACGGGCTGGGCCTTAGAAAAGGTTTTATTCCGTCAGTTCTCGGACATCCGTTAAGGCTCCTCTTTCTCTGACCATGCTAAGCTTGCTTTAACGCACTTTAAGCAGTGAGCTACAACACCGCGACTTACAGTCGTCATCCGGGCACTTGATTAGGCGGCCAAGGGTCGCGACGCGGCTGCGGCGCGTCACGATCAGCTGTTTCCAGCCTGGTTTAGCCATTTTCTCCCTAATTTTCACTGTTTTTGGCTGCTTTTCTTAAGGTTAATTACCCTGTATTCACAAGGTAAATTATGATTGAGATTCCTCTAATTTTTGCGAACAATTTAACAGAACAATCGAACAAATACCTAAAAAATCGCAGAAACACTTCATTACAAAAACAAAAAAGGAATCCACGTCCTAATACACTTCATAAAGGCAATAACACAACTTACCTTGAAAAAATAGAAAATACAGTGAAAATTAGGGAGAAAATGGCTAAACCAGGCTGGAAACAGTTGATTACCGCGTCGCGACCCTTTGGCCGCCTAAACTGCCCGGATGAAGACTATACACCATCCTAGTACAACGCCGCTGATCCATAAGAGTATCCTGAAATGATTCCCAACAATAGACAAGCAAAAGCTCAAAAATTACTGGTTTTGCTGAATGTCCTTTCTCAATCGACCGTTCTAGTGAGAAAGCTATGGATGACGAGATGATGAAAATCATTGAAACAACAGTGCCATTCGCAGTACCTGCTACCATTATGCTCATGCTCTACGTGGTGTTCTCGAATTGGAGTACTAAAAAACATATGTGAGCCTTTTATATTTCACACGAGGGTGATCTTTTATGGCGTAGTCACAATTTACAGGTCGAAACCACTTGAAATGTACCTGGGCGTATGGTCAGTAATTCTGGCTCTTATATGCACATTTGGCATTTTCTTCTTCTTGGGGATTGCATTCAATCCTGTAACGTCTACTATGCCTTTCCTGGTCTTGGCCGTTGGTAAGTACTTTACTGTAGACGACTTCGTTTTTCCTGGGGGGGGGGGGGAGGAGTGGGCAACTTGGTTCTGTACAGTTCGGGCATTGTATGCGAGCGATTACGCCTTCCGTTTCCCGATTTCCGGAATTCGAAGAGTGTTTAGAGTCAGCAGTTGTGTTTTTTGGGGAATGAGGCCATCGTCCCAATCCCCTTTCAAATTGCATAATAAAAATTCAAAGTCAAGCAGTTCATGAACGATATCTAAACAGGGCTGGACGCCATACTGAGATCAGTAGGGAGTCGATCATGAAGTGTTCCTCGGAATCATTTTAGAGCCTCAAGTGTCTCGGCCATGCAGGTGCTGTGTCGATTTCCCGACTCGAAATTCATGACAAGATGAACGTCAGAGCCTTGATGACTGCCCAT